AATTCGTATATAGAAGAAAAAAAAAAAGGCTGTTTTTTTTTTTTTTCCCTAGATTAGATGAAATTTTTTTTTTTTTTTTTTTTTTGGTACTATGAGATTCAAACCATATGGTCGCCACATATATCTTGTGATTATAGCTAGAATCGGCAGAATTTTTACTTCGGCAAATGACAGATTTTGGAATCTGATCGAAAAAAATGTGTAGAGGTGTATATATCGACCGTTCCAAAATCTCTGTGCTTTTTTTTCGCTTCGTTCGTATGCCAATTAATTAATAAACATTTTCAACATTTAATTTCAAGGAAAATAATGGAAATTTTTTCAATTTGTATAAGATTTGTGTCATTTTGATCTTTCCGTTTTTTGTTTTCATGAATAATAATAATAATAATAATTCTTGAGAGGCCAATTTGCTGCAAGTGTGTTTCACTGTATACACGCAAAAAAATACCAATGCTATTTTCATAATGAGGTATACTTATGAAAAAGTTTCAAAAAAAACTCTTTTCTCAAATTGTACTCTTAACAAACGAAAAAAAAATTCCATGCCAATCATAGAATCTGTTGTTGCTTGTCATCACTCAGAACTAACTGAATATTTTCTTTTTTTTTCTTTACTTTTTTTTAGATTGAATCGTGAAATAGCTGGTGGTGCTTGGTGTCCATCCAAACAATTGAGCGCATCATATTCCGGACAAGAATGGATTCAAGTTGATCTACAAGAATTTTATATTATAACGGCTATTGCAACACAAGGTCGTTTTGGTAATGGTATGGGTGTTGAATTTGCTGAAGAATATTGGATCGAGTATTCTCGTGATAATGGTACCACTTGGAATAAGTGGACTGATATGAATGGAGATTATGTAAGTTTTTATATATATTTAAGTTTGACATGTGACATTTGATCTCATTTACAACGTTGATGAGGAGGGTTACTCTGTTATTGAACCAGTAAAAGTTCAGTGATTCATTTATGGAAGTATTGCATGTCATCAGGATGATGACTGAATGCTCATTATGCAACCATTCTATAGTCGTCTATAATTTCATTGGGCACGTAGTGAAACCAAAATAAAAATCAATTAGAACGCGAACTTGTGATGATATTTCGTGCCTAAACAATAACAATCGATGGTTCTTTCATGTCTTTTTTCCTATTTCGATTAGATTTATTGACGAAATTGATTCTAGCTGGGTTTCAAGCAGATGGATTCATCTCTAAATTGTCAGAATTTTTCCCTTTCTGACTGACTGTCTAACTGAATTTTGTATCATTACTCACACACGCAACTATTGCATCGACAAAAAAATAGGGCTGTAAAGCTTTTTTTACAGCTGTAGATATTCTCATCTTTCGGGGAATGAATTCTTGATATGTCTTTTATTTTCCTATGTATGTTTTGTCTGTGTGCGTGTCGGTGTGTAAGCATATTAACCTAATCCCAATATAATCCTAACTTGTAATTAGAAACAAAACAAAAAACAACAGAATTCGACAGTGTTATAGCCTGAAACAATTAAGACATGTCATATTGGATGTTTTCGATTGAATTTTTTTGGGGGAGAAGGGGTGTACAATCCTGTCAATCGATAGCAACTAAATATATCAATTGTATTTCTTAATTAAACCTGTCGTCGTCATCTGACTGCACTGCATTGTCTTTATTGCAAAAGCATTGCAATTCTTTATCGAGAAAAATTCTTGAATTTTTATGACACAAAAAAGAAAGAATTTCAAGCTTGGGTTTTGAGCTGAATTTTTTTCTGTTTGTTTGATGCCAAACCAGAAAGCAAAAAAAAAATTTTTAACAAAGAATTCGGTAATTAATGGTGTTTCGAGCCCTGAAAAAAAAATTTAATGCCTTTTTCGTCGCCCGTTTTCTCGGTTATTGTTGTTGTTGTTTATGATGCATATTTTATATTCAAATTTCAAATACCACAAAAATACACAACAACAACAACAAACACACGCACACATCATTTTCATCGCCAATTAGAAAAAAAGTATGCAAAATGAATGAAAAAAAACTTTAAAAAGGACATTAAGCAAATACAATGAGTGAATGGATGGGTTGTTTTGTTGTTTGACTCTCGACATATTTTGGCGCCTTTTGAAATCAACCACCAACGCCAACAAATTCACATTCAGGAATCAAATGCAGCCATAGACAAGAATAATAAGAATCTATAATTTTTTTAAAATATTCTATCAACACAATCTTCCTTCTTTTCTTCTTTTTCATTCTTTTACTTTGAAAAACATTATTCTCACGAAACTCAATTCAGTATTTTTTGCTATTCAATTCGATTCTTGCATGTTCAGTGTGTTTGTTTTTATTTGTGCGTGTATATGATGTTTTTAAATGGGCAAAAGAAAAGAAAGAAAATGTTTCGCATAACCAAAACATCCAATTCTCTTATGAACGATGTTGAACGGTAGTATAGTTATTCAGTAGTTATTCAGTAGTGTTTATTATGATCAACATTTTTTTTATGTGGTTAGAGAATACAGGCATGTCAAAAAATTAGTAACCGACACAATAATAACAACAACAACAGCAAAAGCAATTATTTATTTATTTTCTTCCATCGTTTTTAGTTGTTTTTTGTTTGTTGGTTTTTTGCTGGGTTCTTGAATTTTTCTGGTGTAAATTACAATGAAATTCTTCAACCACCGTTGCATTTCATCGACCACATTATACATTATGGTCGACTATCATATAAAAATGTTTAGTGGTTTTTTGGGTAGTTGATTTTAATAATTTATCTTTAATCTATGGAATTCATTTTCCTCTTACGCACATTCGAACAAACATACCACACTTGAATCAATATGGCTCACCTAACACATAGGCTTCCTTTTTTGGTTTTTGTTTTGTTAATAATTTTCCCATTAACTTTGCTGATGTTGCGATTCGCGTTGTTGTTATGTTTGTATTTGATTATTATTTTGTTCTGATTCATCATTCATTCATTTTGATGATCAATGCATTTGGCAATGTTTTTGGTTTTCTCTCTTATCATTGTTGGTTTGTAGTTTTTCTATTTTTTCTCTTTACAAATGAAATATCTAAAATTCTGTAAACTAAATATTGACATTGGTTTCATGTCATTGATGATGTATGTTTTGTGTTTCTGTCCAACAATGAATTCTGTGATATCATTGGTGTTAAAAGTTAATGTCAGTCTTTCTTTGGAAATTTTTTTTGTTTTGTTTCGTTCGGAAAATATTTGCATAATCAAACAATAAAGTTTCCGTTTATTTTGATATGAATCATGTTTATATTAACTGACTGACTTTTCTTTTGTTTCCCCAATTTTCATTTGTTTTCTTTTTTCTTTTTTGTTTTTCTGGTTTTATTTTTTATAGAAATTGATTGGAAATCATGATACCTATACACCACATAAAAATATCATTCCACATCCATTAGTAGCTATCAGCCTTATACGTATTGTACCATTTGCAAGTTATCAACGAACAACATGTCTTCGTTTTGAATTATATGGATGTAGACATGATAATCATGTACCGATTAGTTATTCAATACCGGATGGTTATAAAGATAGTTCATTTGGTGATTTACGTGATTTAACATATGATGGCCGTATGGATTTTTATGGTTATCTACATGGTGGCCTTGGACAATTAATTGATGGTATAAAAGGTGATGATAATTATAAAGTTAATTATGGTTATGAATGGATTGGTTGGAAATCGGAAAATGCTGATCTTTCTATGGTTTTTGAATTCAATACAATTGTCAATCTTACTTCAGCTACATTTTATTGTCACAATCTATTTACGAAACAAATTCAGGTATGTCATATTGGCTAGGTCATATTGATATCCATAACTAATTGCGATATGTTTTTTTCTCCTTTCCTTTTGAAAAAAAAGGTATTTGCCGGTGCTAAAGTTTGGTTCAGTTATGATGGTCAAATATGGTCAAAAAGACCAATCGAATTTGAATATATGCCCGATTTGGTATTGGAAAATCCACGCGATGTTGATGTACATCTACATTATAAAGCAGCACGATTTGTTAAATTTGATTTTCAATTCGGAAGTAAATGGATACTAATGTCGGAAGTAACATTCAATGCAAATCCAATCGATGAAAATACAACATTATCATATGAACAATTGGATTGGTCATATGATGATGATATGATGATACCATATCAAACAGCAATCAATAATGATCGAACATTATTTCCACAAACAACATTTTTCATCGTATTTGGTGTATTATTTGCTGTTATTTGTTCAGTGGTTATTGTATTATTACGATTACATTTGAGACGTAAGGAGAAAGCTGGCCATATTGTTGTCTGCATGAAGGTATGTTTATGTCTATGGTAGTAGTGTTTAGTTAGTTTTCTCTATAGCTAGCAAGGTAAATCAACCAAAAATCCATTTATTCTATTAAACCCTTGAAAAAAATAGTCTATCTGAATGATAAAAAACTTATCATTATTATCACATATACCACTACAGGAACTCTATACTAGATTCATTCACTCAAAATAACATAACGGTTTTTGGTTGGTTCTTATACTAGATTCAAATAACTTTCAACACCATTTTAACACCGTTGTCTGTTCTCACCTGGAATCAATAAAAACAAAAACAAAAATGTAATCAGAAAAATTGCCAGAAACAACAACAACAACACATTCTAATAATTATAATGGACTTGAACATCATATGCCATATGGCCAAAATGCCAAAACAGAACAAAAAAGGATTGCTTTGCTTGGCCAAACATCTTGCTTTGTTCATAAATGTGTCTGTGTGTGAACGCCAAAACAAAACTAGTCAATATAGCCTAGGCCTGGGTAATTATGATTAATCATTGTGCTTTTCCTTTCTGGATGCAATCCATAATGATGGCAGTTTTCTTTCTCTCAATTTTTTTTCGCATAATCATTTCGTACAATCCAAACATTAGACACACAAAGAAAACAAGACCGATTTAACAAACAAACAGAAAAAGAGATTGACCCATCTTTTTCAGCTTTTGCAATCGAATTAATTTAATTAGAACAGAGAATAAGATCAATCACACGACTGCTTTTTTTTGGTCATCCAAAAACAGCTAGCCAGCCAGAAAAGAAACCAGAACTGCTGCATCTTTATGATTCCATTTGATGATGCTAAGAGCATTTGTGTTTGTTCCCAAAGCCAAAAACAATGGTCAACATGAATTGCTTTTCTGTTTGTTTGTTTGTTTGTTTGTTTGTTTTGTTTTGTCATAATGATCAGTATCATTCAAATTTACGATTGTCATTTGTTAAATTCAATTATAATTTCTATGCTTATGACGCCAAATCAAATTTTTTTTTTGGCCGGCAAAATGATCAAATTGAAATGGACCAGAAAAAAAAGGATTGATCACATCAATTTGATCGATTGTCGATGATCATTTTCATTTCACATTGTTTATATGTTGACATGGATATTATTCCATTCGGAAACCAATTGCTTGTCACAGCAATAAATTCAATGAAGAGGTTTAGAATCCTTCACAATGAATCAATAATTTACACAATTATCATTCATATAAAACACTTAAACAATAAAGGCTTCAATTAGAGTAGAATCCATCCTTCATATAAATAGCCAGTTAGACAGACCGGCCATTGATCAAACTTTCTTTTTGTTGTTTTCTGTTGTCAGCAATCATGTCATGGATCAACACTTTCTCCTTGCTCTCACATTGTAATCCTAGCCTCTTGTAATTCTGAATGAATGATGAATGGAATCTTGAATATATATAAAAAAGAGGAAAAACTACCATATCCAATTTGTTTGTTTGTTTGTTTGTTTACCCCCTTTTTTTCCAATGTTATGTTATGTCTAATTATCTAATCTGTTAAACAATTGTTTTTTCAATGATATCATTGTTTTATGAAATAAAAATAATTTTTGGGTTTTTTCATCATCATTATTCCGGCTATATTTGTTTGATTTTTGATATTGTTCAATAGATTCTCTTCATGTTAGATTTCTTTTCACTGTCTGTCTCTCCATCTCTCTGTTATTTTTCAATTTTGGGTCTTTTTTTCGTGGTGTTTATTACTACAAAAATGATGCTGGCTTTTTTTAGAGAAATTAAAACTAACTAACTAACCATATTGATTGTTTTATTTATTCATTTTTCCTTTTGCTTTAATCGGCTTCTTTTTTTTTTGTTTCGTTTTCTTTTTTCCCTTTACAAATCATTTTATGGCTGTCTGTTTTTGTTTTTTGATTTGTGAATAAATTGCTCTACGCTTTGTTTCTTTTGGTCACATTGTTTTGTTTCGATTGAAAAATATCTGAAATGTTTGTCAAAAAAAAAGGATCTGGCCACAACACCATTATATTGTGAGCCAAAAGATTTTAGTTCAACATCAAGTACAATTTCAAATACGATAGCTGATCCAGAATATGCTGTACCGGATGTTGCTATTTCAAATCATCATCATCATCCATATCATTTACAACAACAAAACTATCATCAAATGATGTCTGCTTTATCCAATGGTTCTAATCATCTATCGTATCAACAAAACAATGTTAAAACTGTATCAAATGTAGGACATTTGGGTAATAATCTAAATATGTTTGGTACAGGATTCACTCGTATACTGATGGGAGGTCATCAACAACCAGCTAAAGATGTGAACAATGTAAACAAATCAACAACACCAACATCCACATCATCATCATCAGCAGCAGCTAATATCACTGCCAATGTTGTTTATTCATCACAACCTAAATTACAAACAAATGATAATGGTAGTTGTTATAATTTAGCCAAACAAATTCCGGCAACTAATGTCCAACATACAGCTAATCATCCACAAACAATCAATTCAAAAACGTTAGCCGCAGCCGCCAACAGTAATGCCAATCTAATTCAACGACAATTCTATGTTTCAGCTGATTTGATACCAAAATCTCCAAAGTTAGCAACAGCAGCCACCAAATCTACCTTAATACAATCAAATTCAACAATCGATCCAACGAATAATGGTCGTATGACATGCAATACTATCTATAAGTAAGTGTTGTTTTCACCAGAATTCAGATTTAAGATTTGATAAATTGAATGATTCTTAATGTTTTTTTCAGCAGAAGAAAAATGGCCAACGATGATATGATGATGGCGAATAATAACAGCAGCAGTACATTGAAACTAAAATATAATTCAAATTCAGCTATGAATAATAATAGTAATGAATTTTTTGAAGAAAGTATGAAATGTATACCTGAAATTGGTGAACAACAAATCAATATCATTCATAAACAATTGGGATGTTCACAATATGGTCAAATAATGTTAGCTCGAATGTATAATAATAATGAATCTAATCATCAGCTAATGATGAATAATAATGTTTTCGGTAGAAACGGTTACGCTAATGACTTATCAACGGAAACGGATACTATGAATCGTGAAACAGGAAACAAAAACATTGATGATAAGAACAGCAACATCAATGATGATGATGGTACGCTTGTTTTATTGAAAACACTTGAAAATGATAAACTACGAAGTGATTTTCTACATGAAATGAAATCCAAATGGTTTATATCGGCAAAAAGTGAACGGGTTGCAAAATTAATCGGTTTTTTATCATCACCATCAACGAATTTAACAGCAATGATTGTTGAATGTGGTGAATATGATCTTGCACATTTTCTTCGTAATTGTGATAAAAAATCTATTGGGTATGTATAGTTTTTTTTATATATTTTGAAAAAACAGATGAAAAAAAACAAGAATCTGGTTAAGGGAAAATATTCAATTGTTCAATTCTTTAATGACAAAAACAACAACAACAATGTTTGGATGTTGTCGATGATGACATTACAACATTACGACAATGGCAACCAGATAGCAAGCAAAAAAAAAATTAATCAATTATTTTTTAGGTCAGTTCCGATTTGGAAAAAAACATAGAACATCATAGACTTAGAGATAGACCATTATCATTTTTTTTTGTTTCGTTGTTTTTCTTGGTGTTGATAATGATGATGATGATGAGCATGATGTAGGCGCCAGCCATTTTCAGTAACAACCAACCAAACCAAAAATCTTGTTGTCCCTTAATGTTTTTTTTTGTTCAGAGGATTTTCTTCCGCTTGATTCCGGATCGATTTCATTTCGATGCTAGAAACATTAGGAGCGATATGAAAAAAAATGAAAAATAAAAATAAAAAAGTTCAGTTTTTTGGCTACAAATCCGAATTTAATAGTAGTTTTTCGTTACTATTATTGTAGGCTAATAAATAGACAATTGTTGTTGTTGTTTGGTTGTTGGTTCCCTTGACAGTTTGATCGTTGATCGTTGATGTTGTTTTTCAAAAAAAAATGATTTTTCTTTGTAAAAATTCATTGCAGAATTTCTATTTGTTGTTGTTGTTGTTGTTGTTGTTGTCATCGTTGTTCATGTGTGATGAATAATGACGTTGCGGTTCTTGAAACTTTGAAATAAAAAATAAAAAATAACTTTTGCGTTATGATGATGATGATGATGATTGCCCATCAGCCCATCATTTGTCAATTTCTTACGCTACAATAAACGCATTGTGAATATATGATGATGTTGATGACAATCAGAATAGAATACAACCAACCATGATTGTCATCAATTCACCATGTTTTTTTTCTATATCTTTGGTTATATCGAATATGAATCTATTTTCTTTTGTTTTGTTTTGTTTTTTTTTTTGATTTACCAGAATACAATCCTTGTTACATATTGGTAGTGAAGTTGCAGCCGGTATGAAATATTTAGAATCATTGGGCTATGTACATCGTGATTTATCGGCAAAAAATTGCCTTATATATGGTGATAGTTTACGAGTAAAAATAACAGATTTTGCCGCATTACTTAATACGAATGGACATGAATATTGTAATGGAGTGGCAATTCGTTGGATTGCGCCTGAAGCATTGATCAATGGTGCTTATACAACTAAAAGTGATGTTTATAGTTTTGGTATTACATTTTGGGAAATATTAACCTATGCATTGATACGACCACATCATGAATCAGATGATGATGCATTCCTGCAGAAATTATTCACTGCATATGAAAGTTATGTTAGTGATATAAATAATGTAAGTTTCACAGTCGAATTCCATAATAAAAATGTTTTTTTCGCTAATAAACTAATAAAATCTTTCATCATTCATTCTCTTTCTCTCTTTGATTGTTCAGGATTGCTCAAGTAGTTCGGTTTATTATCAGGCAACTTATGCCAGTGGCAACATTATTCAAAATACCGTAAATGATTCTTCGGACAATATGGATCAACAACAATCAGGTACAAATCAAACAAAACGAAATGGTACGACAAGAATATCATATCGATTGGCATTACCACGGCCAACAACATGCCCATCAGAAATCTATGATCTCATGCTGGAATGTTGGCAATTAAACGAACAGATAAGGCCATCATTTCGAGATATAACACAATTTCTTATTACACGAAACAATCATATCAGTGGTATTGGATCCAAACAACAACAACAACAACAATGTTTAACGCATCAACAACAACAGCAAGCCGCATCAGCTTAATCCAGTTTTCTCATATATTCTGGATTCTTCTTCTTCTCAATCAACAAAGTCAAATATGATGTTTGCCATTTATAAACACTGTGATTGTCATTCCTTTCTCTTATTATGATCATGCCAAAATATGCTCAAATAAACAAAACAAAAGCAATTAGTCATTTTGCCTGCTTCTGAATGCTGACCACTACAGTCAGCTTTGTGTAAAAAAATTTTTGTTTCAAATTTACAATGTAAAATTTTTCCCCCTCCGAAAACAACATTTTCTTCATTAAATTGTCAATTTCATCAACCAATAACTAATAATAATATTATTAACCCCCTTACACCCCCATAATCGACATTTGTGTGTAAATATTGAAGATATTGTAATAAAATTTTTTCTATTTATTCAATTAAAAAAAAGTTTACCAAGTTTATTTCCATTCATAAAAATCAACGGAAATGGTACTATCCCCAGAACAACCATCTAAATCTTTTTCCTTTACAGTAATTCAAATTCTCGAAAAAAAAAATTCAACATAACCAATAACCATAACCGTTAAAGATTATTATTTACATTTCGAAAAATTTTGTTTATCTATCCTGCAGGCTATATTTGTCAATTCGTTCCAAAACAGAACAGGCCAGATATTGAAAAAAAAACGGGCAATCAAATGGCGTATATTTGCACATATTATCTACGGTGGTGGTGGCCACACCATTCAAAAAAAGAAAAAAATTTAGTTTTTTTCAAACGATTGAAATGCACTCGATTCTTTTGAGTGTTTGCAATTGCATGCACGAACCAATTCACATTTTACAATATGTTATATCTTACAAGATAGGAGACATCACAAATATTTTTATTCTGACTTATCAAGTCCCATTATGATGATTTTGGTTGATGGAAATGACCGTCAATTTTGATCTTTGAATTTCAAATGTTCGAACCAAAAAGCCATTCATTGGTCACGTGTCATGATCATCATCAAAATACAACGATAATGGGCTTCTGTACGGCAGCGGTTTCTGTAAACAAGAATCACGAAAAGAAATTCACTTGAATTACAAAGATTTACAATTGGTCAATGACATGCGAACCTTTTCAAAAAAAACAGCTTACCTGCATGCATAGGTTATTTTTTTGATAAATTAAAATCTTAATCCGTTATGACACACAATATGTGTGTGCGTGTTTGTTTTCACTCACTTATGATCCATCATCATCATCATCATCATTTTGAAGGCAATCTAAATCTGTCATATCAGATATCCAGAACAGAACACTTTTGTTACATTTTTTTTTGTGTATGACTCACTCATTGTCCGGCATGTCTATATTTCGGAAAATTGTCGCATCCAAATTCTGGAAAAGCAATGGAAATTCTGTGCGGTTGTTTTTCCTCGCCAATCAATGAGCCATAAATTTTGCCACCATTAGTTTTATCTTTTCTCTGTGAAAAAAAAGGTGAAACAATAATAATAATAATCATTCAGATATGAAATGATTTTCGAAAAAATCATTTATGGATGCTCGAATGTGAAAAGCAATAGAAAATTGAAAAACGAAAAAATTTCTAAAATTCTCTATTGAAAAATCCCTGAACAAATTCGAAATTATTATTCGAAATTTATAACTCATATTTTTTCAGGGGAAAAAATATATATTATTCACATCATCACATATGCAGAGAGACACACACACTAATTCAAATGGAACGAAACATAAGGCTTAGCTTATGATTATTTAGAGGCAAATCTTTGTTTGTTGTCGATGATGATGATGATGATGACTACCAGGCTCGGCTTATAGAATGCCTCTAGAGAAAATGAAAATGAAACAAGAATTCGATGAAAACGACTGGAAATGACAGCCCCGTTATTCTTGTGAATCTTTTTTTTTCGATGTTGTTCGAGGATTTTTTGGAATTGAACAGAAATGAAAAAAAAATTCAAAATTTTAATCTTTTCTCTCGTGTGTATATTTATACTTACAATCGGATAGTACATTGTTTAGTAAAATTTTCCAGTTTTCTTTTTTTTTGTCTTCAAATCCATATTTTGCTTCACATATGTGTCTTTTTTGTCTATTGACAAAACCCAAAATCGTTTAGATGAGGATTCATATGATCCATGGCCAAGCTTGTTAACAAACAAACAAACAAAAAAGAAAAAGATTTTCAATTTCAATTCTTCAATAAACTCTTTTCATAGAATATTTTTTTTGTAAAGTTTCGAACGAATCGAAAAATCGAACGTTTTTGGCAATTTTTTTTTCAAGAATTTAGCACAAGCAACGCCATCTCGTATTGTCAAAAAAAAAATTTTCCCCTTTTCAAAAACATTATCTGACCAACAGATGGTAGCAGCAGCAGTTGGCCATTTTCAAATACAGGAATCGACCAAATACATTCAGATTTTTTGAAAATTGATGATATTTATTTGATGGTTTTTTTTCGACCGAAAAAGGAATGAAAAAGCTGTATCAATTCTCATGGGATCGTATGCTGTAACTATCTATGAATTGAATTCCTGCATAACAGCAGCAGCAGCAGCACGTTGGCATATTCGCAAACATTGGGCCCGGCCATTATGGAACGATGATTGGATGTAAATCGTTTTCCATTGGGGTAAGTGATTCTCATTTTTTTTCTTGTTTGGGCGTACTGTTCAAATATCAATTTGATTTTTTTTAAACATTTGATTTCGATTTACCATGCATTTTTTTCTGGCTCCATTCTCTATCCTGACTAATGGTATTCATTGATAGTTTTTTTTTTTTTGGTTTTCGTGATTTATGTCTTGTCGTTAGTTATCACTGTGTGTGATGACCGACCCTGTGTAAACCGTTGATTTCATTTTAGTAAATTACATTGATTGAAAAAAAAAGAAACGACGAAAGAGTTGATGATCACCATCATCTTATTATGGTGATTATTTTATTTCATTTTATTAAAAAAAAACCGTGCTTTATCTTGCTAAATCTTGCCTGTTTTTTTTCTTCATTTGAACATTGCCAATGTTGACAATTCAAATTTAGATTAATGTTTGCAATGTTTTTTTTTTTTTGGCCAAGATTAATTCCATAAACACATTGGGATATTTTTTTAATTTTCTTAACTTACCTGTGCTTCTGGTTGTTTTTTTCTGGTTTATGTCATTGCATTTGCTTGCTTGCTTACTTGTTTGTTTGTTTTTTTTTTGTTGACAGCCATAAATTATCATGAAATGGCCAAAAGATAAAAGTAATGTTTTGCGCCATTTGGCTTGTCTGTCTGTTACTTGACATAACGAGAAAATGTTTATAATGAAAATTTTCTTTCTTGCTATATCCAAGTCGGAACAAGAACAACTTAATATTTGAAATGATGCTGAATTTGATCAACAAACGTTTTTCTGATGATGATGATGTGATTTGAAACAGGCATCAAAAACAATCATCCAAAACATCTTATCGGCTACTTTGTTTCTTTACCGACTTTTATATATATTAGATTTTGGTTTTTTGTTTTTATTTGGTCGTCATCGTTGTCGCAAATTGACAAAGAAAAGAACAAATCGTATACACACACAGAATGCTTTTGTTTTCTGTCATTGCACCTCAATACAAGAAGAAGAAGAAGAAGAAGAGTGTCAATCGGAAATGTTTGCTTCCTTATCACACTTTGTTTGTTTGTTTGTGATTTGTAGTTGTTTTTTTTCATTTTTTCATTCATTCATTGGATTTGACATTTGTAATATGCCAATATATTTCGATCAATGAAAATTATCGATATGGAAAAAAAAGGACCAGCCAAAAAAGATACCGCGATTGATCCATTGCAATGTGAACGTAATATTGTCGAATGTACAGAATTAAAATCAAAGGAAAATCGGACTTATTGGATGTGATGTACAGACAGACAAACACGTGACATTATTTCAGTTGGATTTTTTTTCTGGTGAGGATGATGATGATGAAAAAAAGGAAATTGAATTTGGTCTTTATTATCCTGTCGAATTCAAGAGAGAATATAGGGAAGACTAAACGAAACAACGAAAAAAACTAATTTCAACCTTGGATGATGAGATGTCAAGTGTACCATTCTGTCTACTGTGTGAATAGCTGACCCATCCTCTATCTATCTTCATAGAGGTATAATATTGTACGAATAACCAAACAATTTTGTGGGGGGAAGGCACAAAACGAATAATAATCCAAGCCACGAGTACCATGTATGATGTGTGTGTGTTTGTATTTCCTATTTCTTCGTTGTAGGCACACACGTAAGCCATGTTGCAAGCAAGATTAACGACAATGACTATGATGATGATGATGATGATGAGTGCAAGATCCGGAATTATGACCCGAAAAAAAAACAGAAAATTCTTTATATGAATTCTGTTTCTTTTTCTATTTGTTATATACCATATACTAAAAAAAAGTATTAAAGAGGCTTATGGTTAATGACTTGCTACAATAAGGTTTTTTTTCGTTTTTTGTTTCACAAATAAATGATGACTGATAATTCGTTTTCAGTGTGTTGCCTATGATGTCTGTCTATGTATATTCAGAGTTGCCAATGGCCAAAATGGACAATTTTTTTTATTTTTCGTTAATATTTCTCACATAGGTCCCATTATCATTGTAAAAATGATCAATCACAAAACAACAGAAAAAAATATATCATTGATCATCATAGGTATTTTATGGACATAATTCTTATCAAATAGTCATTATTATTATTGTTTATAATGAAAAATGTAAAATTATTTTACAAATTTCCATAAACAATCACACCTTATTTACATGATGATGATGATGACCGTTATTATAATTAATTAAAATGATGATTTACATATGCAGCCATTGTTGTTATTAGTGAATAGGAAAATATAAATCGTTTTCGGTCAAATTGATTGCTATGAATAATGATTACATTGCATGTTTGTCCGTGATTGATCAACAAACAATAACGAGAGTAACAACATTACAAAGACAAATAATTCATTTTCTCAAATAACATTCACGCAATATTATTCTATGATAATGATGACGATAATTATGATGATGACAATTTATGATGGTCATCCTATTTTATATGGAATATAA